GGAGGGTGGAGGGAAGGTGGGGGAGCTAGGGGGAATCGATTACAAGGATCTACATATAACCTCCTCCCTGGGGGACGGACAACAGAAAAGTGGGTGAAAGGAGACGTCAGACAGTGTAAAACATGACAAAATAATAACAATCTATAAATTATCAAGGGTTCAAGAGGGGAGGTGGAGGGGGAAATGAGGAGCCGATAACGAGGGCTCAAGTAGAAAGCAAATGTTTTGAGAATAATGATGGCAACAAATGTACAAATATGCTTGACACAATGGATGGATGGATGGATTGTGCTAAGAGTTGTATGGGGCCCCAATAAAATGATTAAAAGAGAGAGAGAGCGAAGCCCTAGACCTTGGCACAAGATTCCAGTTGGGAGGAACCCCTGGGTGACACAAATTATTAAGCACCCAACCAGTACTTGAAACAGGGGGTGGTGCCCCCAAAGCTGGCCTTTAGGCCTCTAAGGAGAAGTTCTACTCTGCACACGTGGGGTTTCTATGAGTCAGAGTCTACACAGCAGCCCTGGGTTTGTTTTGAATGTGCCGGTCGCCTGTGCGCTCCTCCCATTGCCATTACCTCCAGGGAGTAAGATCAATCGATCCCCTGCTTTCAGCTCTTTCTTTTAATCGCAAGAGGTTCTTTTGTTTTTGTTTTTGTGACACACTCAATTAACCTTTATTGAACACTTCTTCAAATTACATTTTTTTTAAATCATTTAATCGGGGCTCATACAACTCTTATCACAATCCATACATCCATCCGTTGTGTAAAGCACACATACATTTGTTGCCCTCGTCATTCTCACAATTTGCTTTCTGCTTGGGTTCCTGGAATCAGCTCCTCATTTTCCTGTTCCCCCTCTCCCTCCCTCCCCGCTCCCCACTCCTTCATGAACCCTTAATAATTTATAAATTTATAATAATTTTTATAATATATATATTATATTATATATAATTATATAATAAATATAAAATGATTCTATTTTCTTATAATATATTTATAATAATAATAAATATATAATATATTATAAATATATAATATAAATTTATATAATATAAATTTCTCTCATCTTACACTACCCAGCGTCTCCCTTCACCCACCCTTACCAGAAGGTCCTTTAATCTCCGCCTCCAGGGTCCCACCTCCTTCCAAATACCTGACAGATCGCTTCACAAATCCTCCTAATCCCCCAGGCCTTCCCGTCCTGTCTCACGGTGAGACCGAGCCAGGCAACCAGAAGACCACGTCCCAGCCAGCCAGCCACTCAGTTCCGGCTACTACCGGCTGGTGCCCACTCGGCCTCACCTATGGGAAACAGCAAGAGCGGGGCCCTGTCCAAGGAGATCCTGGAGGAGCTGCAGCTGAACACCAAGTTCACGCAGGAAGAGCTGTGCACCTGGTACCAGTCCTTCCTGAAGGAGTGCCCCTGCGGCCGCATCACGCAGCAGGAGTTCGAGAGCATCTACTCCAAGTTCTTCCCCGACTCCGACCCCAAGGCCTACGCCAAGCACGTGTTCCGCAGCTTCGACGCCAACAGTGACGGCACCCTGGACTTCAAGGAGTATGTCATTGCCCTGCACATGACCACCGTGGGCAAGACCACCCAGAAACTGGAGTGGGCCTTCTCCCTCTACGACGTGGACGGCAACGGCTCCATCAGCAAAAACGAAGTGCACGAGATCATTATGGTCAGTCTCTGCCCTCGCCCCTGCCTGGCAACCGGGGGCTCCGGGCTGGGTCCCCAGGGGCCAGGCCCCTGCTGCTGCTGGCCCTGAGCTTGGGAGAGGCTGGGCTGGGCCAGGGGGGTGAACTTGGGACAAGCGCGGGCTTTGTGCTTCTAGAGATCTCGATGAGGAAGGGTCTTTCGTAGACTGAGAGTAGAGACGTGGAACCAGATCCTCACAGCCTGGCTTTCCTTGTAGAGTAGAATACAAATCTGGACATGTCCCAATAGGTATGGGGTTTTTTGGTTTGTTTTTTAATCTCTTCCACCCTCCCTTTTTGCCCTCTTTCTTTCTTCCTTTCTTTGTTCGTTCCTCCCCTTTTCCCCTCCTTTTCCTCCCTTTCCCCGCTTCCTCATTCCCTTAGTCCTCCCTCCCTCCCTCCTTTTCTCCCTCCCTCCCTCCCTTTCTCCCTCCTTCCCTCCCTCTTCTCTCCCTACCTTCCTCCTTCACATCTTCCTTCGGGCAACAAAAGGTCCTTCAGATACATCAGCCACTCACATTCCAATTTTTTCGCAATTAAGTTTTACACTCATAATGTGTTTCAAACAAACGATAGGGAGAGACCACAGTGGGGGAAGAGGGGGGCCGACTCTGTAGCTAGGACCTCATGTTGGAGCTAACTGTGGGGGCAGGAGGGGCGCTTCACCCTGTGAGCCTCAGCTTTCTCAAATGCCTCACGTCCTAGACCAGAGGTCAGCAAACTTTTGAGACAGAAGAGCCAAGCGTATCCCTTACAATAATTTTTAAATTATTTGAGAGCCATAAATATATATTCCCAAACAAGTGAAATCACCATGATCAGCACAATATCCGTTAACATTTTAATAAATGAAACGATGAGACTTTTAATTTAATTTTCCATTTTCCTGCAGAGCCACATGTACCTACCAAAAGAGCTGCATAGGGCTCTCGAGTCCCAGTTTTTGCTGGCTCCCATTCTAGAATAACTGAACCGTGGGGTCCCGCTGAGCCTTTTGACAGGTGGACACGTCCTGCCTTCGCATGCAGCCCAGGACTCATCTCTTCTCTGCCCACACTGGCCTCCCTTTTCAGTTATGTTTTCTCAAAAAAAATCCCTGCCATCGAGCAGGTTCTGACTCATAGCAACCCCATAGGAAGGAGTAGAAGTGCTCCCGTGGGTCTCTGAAACGGTCACTCTTTAGGGGAGTAAAAAGTTCCCTCCCCTGAAGCAGCTAATGGTGGCCTAGTGGGTGCATACATGTTGGGCTGTTAACCAAAAGATCAGCAGTTCAAAACCACCAGTGACTCACTCCACAGGACAAAGAGGTGGCTTTCGACTCCCGTGAAGAGTTACAGGCTCTCTCCTCTGTCAGAGAGGCTCACTTTGAGTCAGAATCGACTGGATGGCAGCGAAATAATAATAAAAATTGCCTTTAATTCTGTCGCCCAGAGAAATGCCCATGAACTCAGACAGACCTATCCAGAGTCTCCGTGTGGTGCAAGTTGTTAACGCTCTTGGCTGCTGACCAAAAGGCTCCAGTCCACCTAGAGTGGCAGCACCTCAGAATAAAGGCCTGGCAGTCTTCTGAGAACTCACCCGCTGCAAATGCCCCGGGGCACGTTCTACTCTGAGACTTAGGGGTCACCACGAGGCAAAAGCAGCTGTATAGCGGCTGCGTGGGTTTTATCTCCACCTCACCAGTCTTCTACCCACATATCTTCACACGACTCCAGAATGACAAATGTACGTGTCATGTTCTTATTCACTTTATCAGATACTACTTTGTCATGAATGCTCCTCAACGCATTAACTATTCTTCAGACTTATCTGGAATAGCTTCTTAGAATTCCATCCAAAGGACAAGCATGACATAATTCAACCATTCCTAGATAATCCAGATGCTTCCTTTCTTTTCTGTGATGCCGGGCATATTTTCCCTACTTTAGTATCATTTTTTTTTAAATTTAGTATCATGTTATTGCTGCATTTCACACACACACACACACCCCTACCTGCGTTGCCACTTGCGTTAGTTTCCAAAGTTCTCTCTGGAGAGGAAATGTTTGTCGTCTTTCATGTAACTTTGAGTCTATGTATCCGTGCTCTCATTTGCACAATGGCCCTGCCTTTCCCAGAAAGAAACCAAACAGAATGACAAAGAATGATGTTGTGGCGAATGCTCCGGCTTTGTGCTTCACCGGGGCCTCGGGGTGGGAACCTTTTGGTTGTCTGATCGCAGACTGGAGAGCAGGCTCCACCTGGCTTGGCTGGGAGGCCTTGGGGTGGCCTGCAATGGTGGTCAAGTCCCCCAGTAAAGCCAGTTGCCCTCAAGATGACGCCAACTCATGGCTGCCCCTGTGGGTCAGAGGTGAACCGTATGTACATCATTGGGTGTTCAGTGGATGAGTTTTTCAGAAGGTCATCACACCTTTATTCCAAGGTAACTCTGGGTTGGCTTGAATCTCCAACCACGTAGTTAGCAGCCGAGCATGTTAACCATGCGCACCTTCCAGGGACTCCAGCCAACCGAAGCCTTGGAGCCGCTGAAAGGATGCAAAGGTTTTCAGGTGAGGGCTCCTGAGGGATAAGAAAGACGAAGGGGAAAGGCTGATGGCAGAGGCAGGCAGAGAGGGAGGGAGGACTCACCGGTCATGATTGTGGCAAGATGGTGCCAAAGCTCTACGACTCACCGGATCACAAGGTCTTGGACAGAGCACGAGGCTGAGTCTCGAGTTACTGTTCCTCCTTCGGCTCTGCGATCCACTGCTGTGTGGCGCATGGCCTTGGGCGACCCAGACAACTTCTCTGGGCCAAATGCAAGAATTCAGTGACTCCCGCGGCCTTGCCCATGGCTCTGATTCTTCAGTGTTGGAAGCTGCTGAGCCGTCATACGTGTATATATGGTTCTGCATTATATGGGACAGATGGTTGTGGGGGACCAGTCACACTTCCATTGCACCTCAGATCTTTTGACCTTTCCCTGCAGGCTAATTCCACAGGCAACATCACCCCTACCTGACTTTGCTCCCAGATATCAACACACTGGGAGGCAGTGTCTCTCTCTGGCACCCTGAACCTGCCCCAAGATTAAGGGTACAGGCTGTGAGGCTATAGGTCAGGGATCTACTATGGCCTTGAGTGTCCACTCTGAGCCTGGCCAGCCCTGGTACCACCAAAACGATGATCTTCTGCAAAGCTGGAGCTAGAAGGCAGCATGGAGACAACCTTGTCCCTGCACCTATTCCTACAGGGCACAAGCTCTGCCTGCTGTGCCCCAGCTTCTGCCCCTTTATTCGAGGGGCATGGCCACAGGAAGAGGGCAGCAGGAAGGAATGTTGAACCACGCACTACCCCTTTCTCTGAACCCTTCCTGAGTAGAGTGCTAAGTGAGGGGCATCCTGTGCCCTGGAAAACAATTGGACATGTCTAAACGATGCTCCCTCATCTCCCTTCCCCAGCCTTGGCTGGGGTTCTCCCCAAAGCATTCCAAGAATAAGGTGGGAGCAGTAGGGCACAAAGCAAGGTTGCAGGTTCTCGAATGGATGGAAGGTTCTAGAAAATGCAGGGTGACTTCTAGCAAGGTAGTTTTCTCCTGTAGCATGAGAACATGTTATATGAGGTTATTAAGAAGGTTAGGTGACAAAATGCTGGAGAAAGTGACACCTACTAGGTGTGCAATAAATAGGAACCATCTTTACCATCACCCAGTCCTGCTAGACCACTTTGGGCGGGACAGTCCCACTTTTTAACAATTTGTCCCAGGTCCCACGGCGTTTTTTAAAAAGTCCCGATTTTTGGAAAGAATGCTCAATAAGCTAGGGAATGGCGGGAGAAGGGGAAGACCAAATTTTTAATCAAGAAACACCCCCCACCCCCCACCCCCGTCCATGGTGTCCCACTTTACCAATGTTAAAATCTGGTCACCTTACCCAAAGTGGCACTTCCCAATCTCACCGATGATGGTAGGGGTTCCCACACTGGGTGATGCCGCTCTGAGGGGCCATTAGAACAACCCAAGAGGGCAGCAAAAGCAGGTATCTGCACTTTAACCTGGATAGTGGGATAAAATAATAGGATAGTACAAACGTTCTTAGCTGTCAGGCGGGGACAGTTGGCTAAAGAAGTTTGGAAAACCATTGGTTATTGGAAAGCTTTTTATAAAAATGAAAACTTTTTGGTTGAGATTTAAGCAAAGGTTTGCAGAGCAGACCACCGGTCTTAGATCCAGCCGGTCATACACATTCTGATCCAGCATATCCATTCTAAATACCCTCCAGGCCCACCATCCTGTCTCCGCCCTCTGTGCTCTGCGCCCGCTCCTCCATCTTTCCGAACCCTCTGAGTTTTCCCTTATTTCTAGTTTTCATTGTTTAATGCCATAACGTGCCTCTGTGATCAGAAAATTCGGGTGATGTGGCAGTTGAGAGGCGCTGGGCTGTCGCTTCCGGCTCCCAGCAGCCCTGTGCCCACCAGAAGAAAGGGGCACCCCAGTCTTGCCTAGGTGGGAGCCTATTGTTGCAGCCACGGTGTCGATCCATCTTGGTGAAGGCCTTCCTCTTTTTCCCCAACACTCCACGTTACCAAGCCTGATGTCCTTCTCCAGAGGCCGGTCCCTCTGGACAACCTGAGTCCCTCCGAGAGTCGTACCGCCAAGGTTCGCCATCCACACTTCCTTACTAAGGAACAGTTTGGCTGTACTCCTTCCAAGACATTTGTCCATTCTTATGGCAGTCCGTGGGGTAATCCATTCTCTTTGCCAACGCCGCCATCCGAATGCACCCATTCTTCTCCAGGCTTCTCTATGCATTGTCCCCCTTGTGCATGAAACTCCCCAGGGTTGCCAGCCCTGGCCACTCCCCACTCCTGACACGCCCACCCTCTGTGTTTGGTGCAGGCTCTTTTCAAAATGATCCGCCCCGAGGACGTGAAGCTTCTCCCACACGATGAAAACACACCAGAAAAGCGAGCGGAGAAGATCTGGAGGTTCTTCGGAAAGAAGGAAGATGGTGACCACGCCTGTCTTTTGTGACTTTGCAGCCACGTGCTGCTTCCTGGAGACTGACAAGTTTCAGGCCTGGGGACGCCTCGTCCCATCGGACATTTCCAGGGCTGATCTGTGGAGGGTGGCCACAAGGGTCAGCAGGGACCAGTCCTGCTGCCCCCCTGGAAAAGGGTGGAGGAAGGATTCGGGGTGATTTAAATGCCCAGAACATAAGCCAATGGCAACCCAATTCCATTCAGCTCAGCCTTGTTGAGCACCTACTGTGTTCCAGCCACTGGAAATCTGCTCCCCCAACCAAGCAGTGCAAACCCTGTCGATCACAATGGTTGGACCCTGTTGGGTAGGGGGGTCCCCCTGAGTGGGGGCTGACTGGCAGCAGCCTGATGAGAACACTGTGGCACACAGTGCCTAACTGGGGTCACGCTCTCTCTTGTCCTGTTTGGAATAGGAGCAGAGTAGATTCAGGAGGCAGGTAGGGGGTGTGAGGAGTCACTTAAAGGAGTTCCGGAGGAGTTGTCGCTGGCAATCAAAGTGCTGCACTGTCCCATGTCCACAGCCAGTGTCTCCCTGGAGCCCCTCTGGACCCCACCCCTCTCAAACCCCTACTCCTAGCCTGACCGTGCTTGAGCCTTGGGCCTATTGCAAGGCAGGGGCACCCCTGAGAAGTCTGCAGAAGAGATGTGTCACACCAGGAGGGCCCTCCTGGCAGAGGGGGCAGGCTCAACCTTCTGATTCATGGTGGGAGGGCGGTCTTAAGGGTCTTGGGGACGAAGAGGGTAGCTGAGGCAGGGTGGGGGTATTCTCCGAGGCAGCCAGAATTTTTAATAGTAGCTATGTCTGCACTGGAAGCCCAGGCGGTGTAGTGGTGATGCACCGAGCTGCAATTCTACCCTGTCCTTACAGGGTTTGCTATGAGTCCCAGTCAACCCAATAGCAGTGTGTTTGGATTTGGGGTGTTTGTGGGGGATTTTGGTCTGCACCGGGCCTACTGGCTGGACAGGAGCCTGGCCGCATTTGGAAATAACCTAACAGTGTTTTGTTTTGTTTTGTTTTGTACCCCCCACCCCCACCATTTACAGATAAACTTACAGAAAAGGAGTTCATTGAGGGGACCCTGGCCAACAAAGAAATTCTGCGACTGATCCAGTTCGAGCCCCAGAAAGTGAAGGAAAAGAAACCCTGATGGCAGCCATGATGCTCTTCTTCAGGCCCCCACACCCCCGCCCCCACCCCCCCCCAGACACGCTCACTCTCTCCCAACCCCCAGCCCAGCCCCTGCCAAACAGCAGCCATCTTCAGTTCACCCAGTCCGTCTTCCCTGTGCCCTTCGTGTGCCCCCACCCTCCCTCCAAGGTAATCCCGGGATCAGGTCACTGGAGCCCAAAAGGTCACGCAGTGTAAGCTCCTTTGCAGAATGCTGGGCAAGCAGGTTCCAATAAATGCAAGAGGAGCTGGCTGGCACACAGCTAGGCGAACTGTCCTTTCTGTCAGCCTGATCTAACCCACAATGATGCACCACCTTGGTGGGGGCAGTGGTGGAGCGGGACCGATAGACATAGGCCCACTCACTCAGCGCTCACAGCTCACAGTGGGTTGGGGACCTCCAGGAAACCATGACTGGTGTCTGGGTTACCGGGAGATGCGCAAAGCACTTGGGAAAAAATGTTCCTGATGAAAAGAGATCGAAATTCATGACTGACCAAAGCAGAGAGGGCCATGGTGGGGGAGGATGAAGATGTGGGTCAGAGATCAGCCAACCCTGAGACCCTGGGGCAGGAAGGAGCATTTCTCCCAAGGTCGGTGAGAAAGTGGGGTGGCTGGAAAGCGAGGGGAGAGGGAGAAGAGAGCCAAGGGGGGAGTGTGAGCTAAGCAGTCGCCTGGTCACCTGGAGCAGCAGGGGGCTGGAGGGCTGAACCCTTCTGAGGGCATTTAGGCTGCAGAATCAACCTGATTGGCTGGGGGTGGGTGGGTGGGGGTGGAAGTGGGCGGGGCAAAGCTAGTTCTATCACTTCTTGAAGAGTGATGTCATTTACCCAGTTACCAAGATTGGAACCCTAAGGGAAGTTGCTGGTTTCAGTGGGTGGGTGAAGATGTGATGAGTGGTGAAGACAGAGCCAGATGTATGTGTATAATGGCTGAGGCCCCCAGGGGCAGAGGTGAGGGATGGACGGCCATTGGCCATAGGCAGCTTGCCCAAGGTCAGCTGGCGAATGAGCAGAGGCCAAGCCTGGCCCGCATGTCCTCCTTGAAGCTCCAGGGCTCAGGACGTATAGGAGCATCACCAGCGAGCACTAAAGGTATGTTGTTTCCTCACCGTGAAACCCTATTGACTCTCCTAAGGATCCCTGATAGCTTAATGGTTAGGAGTTGGGCTGCTAACCACAAGGTCAGCAGTTCAAAACCAGCAACAGCTCTGAGAGAGCCCTCACTCCTATCAAGTGGACTTGTAGTGAGCCCCTGTAGGCTTCTGAGACAGTAACTTTTTATGGGGGTACAGAGCCCAGTCGTTCTCCTGAGGAGCTGCTGGTGGTTTTGAATGGTTGACCATGTGGGTTGCAGCCCAGGGCCTAAGAGAAGGCTTTCTCCTCTATTGAAGAGGATTTGGCTCCATAGTGTCCCTATGAGTCAGAATCAACTTGCAAGCAGTGCGTTTGAGTTGTATTGATTCTCCAGTGTAATTCCCGAGGCAGGGTTCTCCATATGATGACATTATAGGGTGCCCCCCTACTCCCACCCCGGAGACTTCATCCCTGCAGGGATGCTGTCACCACTACCCTAGAACACGTCCCTTTGTGGCAGGAGGACATGAAGCATGGGCCTCATGCTAGGCATCCTCTGGGCATTGACCATCGGCGTGTTCTAGATGAAAACTCAAGTCAGCACATAAAACTGAGGATTTGGCCCTCAAACCTGATTGCACTGGGCTGTCTCAGTAGCTTCTACCTGGACACCATGGGATAGAGAATTCTGGGAGTAGAGTTAGGGCTCACACAGCATCAAGTCTTGTGTTTTAGGGAGGAGGAAGGTTCATCTTAGAATCAGCAGTGGTGTGTTCAAGGCCAGTCAAGGGACTGAGAAGGCCCTGGAAGAAAGGACCATGGGACTTGGCCCGGAGGTGGTTTGGGATACAGCCAAAGGGCTCAATACCTCACTACCATGGCTCTAGCCATCACCTGACGCTGCCCAACATGAATGAGTCTGGTTGGTTGGGGTGTGAGGAATGAGTCTGGTTGGTTGGGGTGTGAGGAAAGGGGCTTGTGTCAGTCTGGGTACTTTAGAGAAACCAATCCACAGAAACTCATGTATAAGAGAGAGTTTTATATAAAGGGTAAGTGCGCATCAAGAAAACATCCCAACCTGGTGCTGCCCAAGCCCACAAGTCCAACATTAACCCACTAACCCATCTGTCTAACACCAATCCACAAAGTCCTCCTCCATCTCACAAAACACACACTATGCTGCCAACTGCAGGAGGAAAGCCGAGTCAGTGAACGTGTAAACATCTCAGCACTGGCAGGGGTGCATCTCACACACGGCTGCTCCAGCACCCAGGGCTGCATCAGAGTAGGTCCATGCGGCTTCTCCTCAGGGATGTCTTGCAGGAAGTGAGCCTTGTCAGCTAAAGCTGCTAACTTGGAGATCAGCAGTTTGAGCCCACTATCTGCTTTGAAGGAGAAAGATGAGGCTGCTCCTAGAAAGATGTACAGTCTCAGAAACCCAAGGGGGGTAGTTCTACCCTGTTCTATAGGGTTGCTGAGTTGGAATAGGGCTTTCTTACCCTTATACCCTTAAACGCACAGACTCCCACAGGGACAGTTCTACCCTGTACTACAGGGTCACTATGAGTAGAATCGGCTAGCAGTGAGTTTGGGTTTTTGGAATGTGATAGCTACAACTCCTGCTCTTTGGTGAAGGGGTGATGTTAGCTGGTACTGAGGATTTTGTGGGTCTTCTATGTCCCACGAGTCAGAGGTGCCCCTGACCTAGGGGATGACCTAGCAGAGGAGAGACACTTGCCTTCCTCCCTTTGGACCGTCCAGCCTTTGGCTCCCCCCACCCACCCCTGCCCTCCCCTCTTCTAGTCCTTAAGACAATGGACCACCCCAGTCTTGGGTTAACATGCCATAGCTCTCCCTCCCACCTCTGTCCTGGCACAGCACAAGGGCAGGAGACACCTTCCGCTGCATGGGGGGCATGTGTCAAAGAACTGACATAATCCACGCGAAAGGAAACACACCATTTTAATCATTAATAACCAGGAAGACAGGAAGAAGCAGTGCATGGTTGACACCCCATTTTGTGAGTGTGGGGCTGAGGACAGAATGGCAACGCTCTGAAACACGTCCCTCCTCTTAGGTCCCTCCCTGGGTAACTTCATCCCAGCAGCATGTGCTGCTCTGGTGCGAGCATCTGCTCTGAGCCTGCACTGGCTGGGTGGGCGCTGCGCATTTCGACAGTCTCAGCTGTCAGAGAGGCTGGTGAAGGAGGACAGGGACGTTGGCAGGAATGGTGTGACTTAGGAAGGCAGGTATCTCAGAGCTTGACCAGCAGATACCTCTAGATGCCCCCCCACTCACTGTTGCTTTGTTATGTCCAAGGCACCAGAATCCTATCTTTGGTTCCCTCCCCCTAACCTGCACCCCCTTCGAAGAAGGGCGAGGCTAAGGAGGCGCTCACTGTGGATGCAAAAGTTAAGGGGGCTCCATAAAAGAACAAAAGCAAACACCATCCATTGGGACAAATTGTCTTTGAATGAAATCTTTTCTTTTAAAAAAATCATTTAAAAAAATGAACGCGCTGGGTCATGAGGA